AGTAAAATCAGGCAGAGAAAAAGAAAAAAGTGTTCAGAGGTATTGGGATATAATTAAAACATAACCAAACAGGACAGAAAGTATTAAAGTAACAAGCAGAAGGTAATTAAACTACAACTGAGTTCAATTATCATGTAGTAAAACGAGATCAAACACAATCTAATGTAACTAGGACATCACACGCGCCCCTGAGAGCTGAAACATGAGAAGAAGGGCAGGGGGAAGAACAGCCCACCAACTTTGTTGTGTTGTGTTTAACTGAAAAGGATAGACTGGTCAGAAAACCCCATTTCCAAGAGAAACACCCTTTCTTCATTTGCTTGAAAAGAATTTCTGAGACCCGTTTCAAGGTCTACCAGGTTTTCTGGGACCTTTCCTCCATGGCATGAGCACTTGTTCCCAGACCAGAACATTCCCCGCGCCGGTCCTCACCTGGGCAGGTACAGTGCCACTGTTATGAAGGACCAGAGGCAGCTTTTCCGAATTGCCCAGCAACAGCCTCTTGAAGACCAGCAGAGGGTTCCCTCTCTTATTGCGATGGACCGGGCGCAGGACCGTCACCTGAGGCAGAGTCCCATCTCCGCTGATCTCGAAGGTCAGGCTTTGCGCTTTCACCGCCGCAGGGCTGCAGGAGAGGCAGAGGAGAAATCGTTACGGCTGGCACGAACCCATTTCCCGCTTGGCAAGCAACGAAGCGAGGGCTGCCCGCTGCGTCTTCCCTGGCTGGTGCTCCTGTAACCCCACCACCCAGCTCCCCACCCCTCTCCTCCCAGCCAGACCAGGGCCATTCACAAGAGGAATCTACTCCCAAAAGCCAGAGCCTTCCAGAATAACAGTTAAAAATCATTTCACTTAATTAAAGCATGTAGTACAGCAGGTCAGTAATGAGACATGGCAAATTCACTGGCTGCAGTGATACAAGACATATGCGAAAAGCACAAGCGTGAAAAAGGTATAATAGCAAGAAGGGAAAAGTAAATAAATCACACCATCAGTGCAGATTATTTCCAAGGACACTAAACCAGGAATTGCTTATTAGGGCAGAAAGCTGACTTAGTCTTGTCCCAGTTAGCAGCTCAAGGGGTGGGGAAGAGCAGGTCAGAGCCCTGCTGCAAACAGGTCCCAGGACAGAGGAACTGGGCTCCTCTTCTGTAAGGGGTCCAGTTGTTCCTCAATATAAAATACTTTAACATAAAGTACTTTAACATACCCCAGGTAATCACTTAGGATCATCTAATTTTAACATGAACAAGGAGGAAACGATGCATGCTGACTTGCTGGCACAGAAACTGTCTCATCTAATCCTCTGTCCTTGGAAAGCCCCAGGTGAGCTGTTGCACATCATTTTTTTCTGCCTCAGTAAATTCCAGTTGGCTACCCAATAGTACACCGTCCTCACCATTACTCCTACAGGCTAAACTACCACTATCAATTTTTCTGCTCTGCTATGTCTAGTAGTTACTTCTTCCTTAATTATCTAATGCTACGTACTCTGCTTAAGGCTACTAAAAGAGTTAGGGTGAACAAAGGGTCTATATCCTCTCAGAGGAGAAGCATCTATCAGAAAGTTCCCCCCTACAAGATTTCCCAAGGTGAGTTACCTTGCTTGGACATCAAGGGAAGCCTCAAAAGTGCACTGGTAGTTCTGCATCTTCTGCGGAGTGAAGGTCACTGTAGCAAAGGCGTGACAGCAGCTGGGCACACACATCTGAACAGGATCCACCTCAAAAACGTCACTAACATGGCTGTTAAACTTGGAAGAACCCACAGAGCGGTATTAGGAGAAAACACCCTTCAACGTGATGCAGTCTTACTCCTATGTGCGTCGTGGGGAACAGCTCCAGACAGCACCTTCCTTCCTGCTTCCCTCAACAGGCTCCTTCCATCTCAGAGGGTGACTCCAAACTGGCACTGACGTTGCACAAGGAGCTGCCATAAAGCTTGCTTTGAGCACCGGGCAGCCACCCAACATACGTGGAGGTGGGGACCACAT